ATTAAGGTCAGATATTACAAGTTTGTAATGGTTGAATTATCCTAATATACTTTCGGTTTCCCTCTCGATATTTCCTAAATCTATCAATTAACAAAAACTAACCTTTTATACTAATTATTAATTTGATTCAATTAAATATGCGACAACTCAATTCCTCCATATTAAATTGACTATATTATTTTTTGTTTATATCTCAATAAACACTCAATAGTATATGTTTAATTAATGAAATTTCGCTCTCGTCATTCTAAAACCATCAATATAAAATAAAAGCATGAGTTGGTCAATTCTCACAATTGAAGTAAGCCATATTAATTTAGCTATAATTGTGATGATGTTAGTTCCATAATTTTAGCATATCATGTTCCTTAATAGATTCTTATAGTCATGTACTTAAATGTATATTTTCTAGTTAGCTTTATTTCCTAGTTAGTCTTTTTTTTTTGTGTATATGTAAAGAGATATCAATTTCATGTGCCCATCAGTTTTTATTTTTTATTTTCAGGTCAGGCCATTTATATGTCAAATTTTGTAATTTAAGTACCTAAATAATTGTTGTATTATTCAATAAAATTATTTAATTAATATTATTTATACATAAGTTATACATAATAATTTTTAAATTTTATTAGAAGGACTGTCATGTAATTATTAGATATAAATATTCTTTACATCTAAAAATATAATCAAAATTCAAATATTCTAAATACTTTTATATAATTTTAAGTTAAACGACTTTAGTTGCTTCATTTATGTGTCAATAGCAATACTTTCTACCTATATATAACTTTTGCATGCATGCTTCCTCAACTTGAAAAATTTTGTATCATCTCTATGCTGAATGTATGAATTTTGATTTAATATTTTTTATGTATAAAGTATAATAAATACATAAATAATGGCAATAAAAGTTAATTAGCGAATCATATAAAAATTATTTAATTATTTAAAAAAAAAATTTGGTGCAACATGTATTTATGTGTATTTATTAAGATATTGTATAATTTTATTTTTATGAGAATATATATTTAAGTTCGAATTATGTATTCGGGTGTAACTATTAAAAGTTATAATTAGTTATATTACTATTAGTATATATTTATGATATAATTATTAAAATATATTAATTTTTATTAAAAATTGAACATAAGTTTAATGATTACCCTTCTTGTCAATTATTAATGTTAATACTCAATGGTTAAGTTAAATCCATGAAAAGACAATAAGTGAATATTTTTTTTTATATAAATATAAATATGTGTTAATTGAATTGAATTTAATTTATTTTAATTTGATTAAATAAAATTAATAGTAATAATAATAATAAAAAGGGTAAAAAATAATTAAGGATTTAATTGAAAATAATTTTAGGAAAAATGGGTGAAATTTTGAGTTCTAGGGGTATTTTTGAAAGAAAAATCGGAAAACGGTGGTCAAAACGTAATTTAAAAAAGTTAAGCCACGTCAGCTGCCCGGTCAGCAGCCCCAACCAACCAGGACATGCCAAGTGGCAGAGACACTGACGCGGGAGGCCACGTGGACAATCCGTGTGCGTGTGATCGAACGGTTGAGATTCATTCCCGCGCACACGGACGGCCCAGATTGCATCGCGCATGGACGACCCAGCTTGAATCGCGATGAACGACTCAGATTCACTCCCTATTTAATTGCTATCGGACGGTCTAGATTAAAAGTGATGGACGTCCCAGATCAAAAGCGGATGGGTATAAATAACCCCATCTGCACCCAAACCCTAACCCTAGCCGCCAGAGCCCCTCGCCGGAGAAGACAGCCCAGCCGCCGGGGAGCTGACCGCTGCCACCCGCCGCCGCACCGGAGCAATTTTCGACCGCCAACGAGGTAAAAATTCTACCCTTTGCTCAGAATTTGATTCCAAACCAACCCATGGCCAAATCAGAGTGAAAGCACCGGCCAATTGGCCAGAAAACACCATCGAAGCTCAGCGGCACCGCTGTGGGTGTTTCGATTTTCGCCTCCAATGAGGCCCTTCCCGATCCTATTCGA